TCACGGAAAACATTTGCCAACTGATTTACAGTAATGCCTGAAATCACATTAGTTATTTTAGCTATACTTAAAACTAGGTACATTAAAATTTATAATATTTTTTATAGATTATTTCTATCGCAAATACAAATAAAGTTGAAATTTTTTTAAAAATGCACACGAACTTTATGGACACCCTGTATTTTAGGTACTTCAACAATGGAGTAATGGTTAACGTGCTAGTTCTCTGGTTGAATATCAAATGTTCCAAGAAGTAGGAATTAAGATAAACAATTTCATACAAGAAACTGATCTTGAATTTACAATGAGCGTCACTCTATCACAAACATTAAGGAAGTGGAATGAATAAGATCTAAACACTTCAAATACATCGGTGTATAGATCAGTTTTAATAAATTTAATGTAGGAAGCGAGGAAACTGAATACAGGTTAGGTTGCGCTGGGGGGCTTTCGTCCAACACCGCAACAAAGTAAAAATATGAACCTGAGAATTCGAATCATGTTCATAAATAAGCCCTTTAGATGCAAACTGTACTTTAGAGATCATATCATGGCGTCTAAACCGATCAGAAATCTCTAAAATATCAGCTATATACAGGTGTATATCTAAGACCGGATTTAGGTTTGCCTATCGTTCGGTTCACACACCTCTCCGGTCTTTTGAACAGGAGTAAAGGTTTTTCCCTTGTTTGCTGTTTAGGATTTGGTTTCCGGTTCCTTCTAAAGCCTTTTCATTTTCTTTCACTTCCGGTCGCCCCTTGTATCGTGGTGGCTGTACAATACACGGGCGAATGCTAGACTAATAAATGTGTAAGATTGATTCTGGTGAAAATAATTGTCTGTACGACACAGTGAACCTATTTTCCTATAAATAGACTTAGCAATTGATACAAGATAATCATTCTACTTCAGGTTAGTGGAATACCGAATAGGCTCAGTGTCTCGCCCTCCTGAGGTTTCGCATCAGCCATGCCGATGAAAGTTAAAAATTGTTCTCTATGATGATTAAAAGATGGCAGTTTTTTGTGATCCATTAAAATTTACAATCTATTTCTTGCTCCAAATTAACGTTTAGCACTGTGTAGGTGACTATTTTCACCAAGTAAAATGTTAGTCCTACCAATGCAATTTGAATTTGAATTTCTTGGTTGTGCTGTCGTATCCTTCTATGGCAACGCCTAAAACAATCTTGACTGAAATTGAGAGCGAAGCTACTGCAATTTCAAATGTAGTTTGGTTTGTTTTGTTTTACGGCATATCAACCACAATGGATTATTTAATACCGACAATTTTTATTGCTGGTAATATTTTCCTTCAAAAATGTATTGTTGGTAATATTTTTCCTTCAAAAATTTATTTCTGGTAATATTTTTTTTCGCCCCAAAATCTATTTCTGGTAATATTTTTTTCTTCAAATATCTGTTTCAGGTAATATTTTTTCTTCAAAAATCTATTTTCGGTAATATTTTTTCTCCGAAAATGTATAGCTGGTAATATTTTTTTTTTCAAAAATGTGTTGCTGGTAATAATTTTTACAAAGTATTTCTGGTATTAAAACCTATTTTTACGATTTCATAATTTCATGTTTTGACCCCAGTTTGGGCGGGGGAAGGCTAACTATTTACCAATACCCTGGATCCTAACAGGTGTTACCACCCTGGGTCAGGATGAACACCAGCAATTAAGAGGTGGTTCCATACTCCTTAAAACCTCCTGATCAGATGCCTTGCTGTTGGACGTAGTTTATCGTCGTACCCAGGACGGTCAAATATAGTAAAAGGGGAACTAAGATTTATGAATGATGCAGTGCTAAATATTAACATCTGATTGGAGTTCATTTTTAAGTGTAGCTTCTAGCTTTATCGGATTTATTATTGAGATAAGAGTAAATAGTTGAGTCATCAGCATAAATACCGAGTCCGGATTGATAGAACCCGGAAGATCATTAATGAAGATAAGAAACAATTTATTTACAATGGAAACTCTTCCTGTTCTATTTATAAGTACCAAGCTTAAAATTTTTAAGCAATTGTTTAAGAAACCCTATTAATTCTTGTAAAAATCGTGTACTGGTGAACATCCTCAGTAGTTTTAAAAAGTCGTATACTCTCTAAACATTTATTGCATGCGAATTTTTCTGATTGAGTAGATACAGGGGGACCCCAAAAAACGGGAACTTTTTAACACTCCAATATAACCAAGAGTGATGGAAGAAAAATATTTTATTCATAGTAATTGAAACCTTAAAACATGCCATTTAAGAAACAATGATGGAATTTTCATTTTTTTAAAAAATTACGTCCCGTAGATGGCGTCCTCCTGTACGAATGCATTCTTGAAATCTGCTGTTGAGATTCCTCATTGACTGCTGCAACATCTCAGCTGGGATACTGTGTTTACACAACTCGACCAAGAACTATACATATTGTTATATCAAGAAATATTCATTATATTCATTATTCAGATGCTATTTCATGTTATCGTACTGCGGAGTTAAACCCAGCGCGGCACCTTTGGAAAGTTGCCCCAAACCTTGTGAGCGAAATTGGGCAGACGGATCTGATCGGAAGCCGTCGATGGTTGCGCCAGCATGTGATCGAGAGTTTGTGCATGCTGGTGTTGTTCACTCTACTGTCAGATCATGCGCTCTCTTAGACGTTATTATTACCGGATACTCTCTTTTCAAATAGACGCCCCGTTTTTTATTTTATTTTATTTTAAACGTTGCCTCTTAAGTCTGTCGGCCTGCGCACTCGAGAAATCCTAATAAACAAAATGTGCTCTCGAACCTGTTCGAAGCTGCGTCTCCCTTTTATTGCAGAAACCACCATTTGATCCGCTGTGCTTTAAACCGCTCGGCCACAGAGAGTGTCACAGTACGGCAATGTACTATTTTCTTAAATTTTTTTCTTAAAGAAATACACAATTCCTTGTTCAGTTTTTCTCAAAAGACGGCGTCTGTTCAGTTGCGTTTCCGAAATCTAAACAAAGCTGTTCCTTAAAAATAATGGATTTTATTTTTAATCCGACATTTTTTATTACTTCAAAATAAACACACACACACACACACACACACACACACACACACACACACACACACACACACACACAAAAGCATGCATCATTGTAAAGACCAACTTATCCACCCCTCCTCCATTTCCGGGCCAGGTATGGAAACTCCCATGTTACGAATCACCATATTTGGTCAATGAAATTCGCAATATCATAGTTGTAAAATGGGAATACGAACTTATGAAATCGACTCATACACGAGTCCCAAGCTGTTTAAAATTATTTCTTTTACATCGATGTCTTCAAGTTCTTTTATCGTCACACACAAGACGGCAAAAAAGAAATTATTTTTTTCTCTTTTCTTTTTTTTCTTTTTTTTTTTAATCTTAAAGTAAAACGTGAGAAAAGTGCGTCATGTCTGAAAAGAGTAATTGTCCGCAAATCTCTGATTATTCATTCCGCTCGTTGTTCAAATTATTATCCTCATCTTTGTTGGTTTTATCACCGCTTTTTGGCCGATGCAATCTTCGGCCTTCGTCTGGTATAGTATAGCTTTTGGCTAACGATAGCTTCAATTAGAATGTCATTAGAAGCAGCAATTTTGTTCACAGTTGGAAAGTTAATTTTGAAAAGAAATGAAAATTTATTATACCAAGAAAATAAAAAGTAACACAGGCGTTAATCTTCATCGAGAAAAGTATATATATATATTCAATTCACAACATCACCCACGTGACGACGACGTGATCATATTAAAACGGAACGCTGATCTTATAAAAAAATTCAGTTATCTGTTTGGATTAGTCTTACTCTTATGTCCATCGTCTTTTTCATGTTGAATTGAATATAGTCTAATGTTAATTATGTTTTATGAATATGTCCTGAAAATGGTCTATAAGACCGAAACGTCCGACGTTGACATTATATTAACATTAAAACAGCATAATTGCATATTAGGATTTTTGTTTGTTTTTCCGTATATTTTTCTTCATACTGTCGGATCTACATCCATATATTTATTTATATATATATATATATATATATATATATATATTATATATATATATATATATATATATATATATCCTCTAACACAAACTCGTTCTTTGTCAATGCACTGAATTCAGTTGTGAATATTAACCACGTAGATCGGCCATCAGTCCGTGAACATTCCGTTCATAACTGCGCCAGGCGACAGACTTATTGATCCACTCTTGTGTCCAAAAATGAAATTCTTTTTCGGAAAATCAATCAGTATCCTTGCAATCCCAACATCCGTCAAAGTATTATTGCGCTCTACACATGCACATGATCCCACTCGAATAAAGCCAGAGAGAGAGAGAGAGAGAGAGAGAGAGAGAGAGAGAGAGAGAGAGAGAGAGAGAGAGAGAGAGAGAGAGAGAGAGATATGGCCAATGACACTACTATGCTAACGCCATGTTTAAATGAAAGCCCGGCAATTTCACTTTGTAAGCATCAGAACAAAACATTAGAAGAAATCAAAATAACGATAAGGCCAAATGGAAGTGACACGCAATTGGTTCTCGTTGACACGAGAATTCGTACGAGAAGCCTTTTGCCGCCGGAAGACAAGCTGAGCATTGAAAAGGAGAAAACAAAAAACAAAACAAAGCCATAAATAAATAAAATAAGCAAATATGCATACAAAAAAAACCCTACTGAGTAACAAGGTTTAATTTCATAGAAAATGTTGCGCGGTTGGATGTAGATGTAATAGCGAGAAGAGGAGGAAAGTGGGAATGAGTGGGAAGAAAAAGAAGAAAGGCAAGAAGAAATGTGAGTGAGGGATTGAAAAGAGGTGGAGAAGCAGGGGTAGGTCAGATGCGTTGCAAGAGGAGGAGGAAGAAGAAAAAAAGTAAGAAGGATTGATAACGACGAAAAGGGAAATAGTAACAGGCGTGGAGAACAAGGAAGAAGAATGATGGAAGGGAAAACAGAGAAATGGTGGACTACAATAGAAAAACAATATGAAAGCTGAAGACATTGAAAAGATACGAACGATTTTCATATCTATGTACATAGAAGCTTATATAAAAAAACTAAAAAAAACAAACAAGCAAATCTATCTATCTATCTATCTATCTATCTATCTATCTATCTATCTATCTATCTATCTATCTATCTATCTATCTCAGTCTGTTCATATCTATCTACATAGAAGCTTACATAAAAAATAAAAGAAACAAGCAAATCTATCTATCTATCTATCTATCTATCTATCTATCTATCTATCTATCTATCTATCTATCTATCTATCTCTGCCTATTTCGGCTCGTTCTTATCTATCTATCTATCTATCTATCTATCTATCTATCTATCTATCTATCTATCTATCTATCTATCTCAGTCTGTTAATATCTATCTATCTACATAGAAGCTTACATAAAAAAATAAAAGAAACAAGCAAATCTATCTATCTATCTTTGCCTATTTCAGCTCGTTTTTATCTATCTATCTATCTATCTATCTATCTATCTATCTATCTATCTCAGTCTGTTCATATCTATCTATCTATCTATCTATCTATCTATCTATCTATCTATCTATCTACATAGAAGCTTACATAAAAAAATAAAACAAAACAAGCAAATCTATCTATCTATCTATCTATCTATCTATCTATCTATCTATCTATCTATCTATCTATCTCTGTTCATATCTATCTATCACAGTCTGTTCATATCTATCTATCTATATAGAAGCTTACATAAAAAATAAAAGAAACATGCAAATCTATCTATCTATCTATCTATCTATCTATGTGTTTAATATATGCAACTGAATAGAGACATAAATTATGTTAGAGTACCTAGATGTGTGAGCGCTTGGAAATACCAGGTACAGTAAGCTTAGATGTGCGGGATAATGGCTCGGAATTTTTAATTGGAGAGCAGAGTTCCAGTTTCCCGTTGGGTTTGTTATACGCCATTACGCGCCAATATCCCTGGGAAAGGCATGAATTCACTTTTATAGAATGTAAAAATCAACTATGGGTTAATTAGTAAGACTTGTATCACTAAATCATTATCTAAAAAAAAAAAAAAAACTTCTTATAATCTAAAAATATATTCCGACTTTAAATAACCTGCAAAAGATTGGTAAGCCGTAAAAAACGAATCACTCTATCATTCAATCAATAACAACGTTAGATTGTGTCTATATTTCTGAGATGAGGTATTATGTACACTATTTACATTATTCGGACTATTGCCCTCATCCATTAGACATGGCACGTGGAACTAGAACAGTCTAATCCAGTGATCGGCATTCCAACCACCTGAAGAAGGACGGCTGAAACATCGTGATAAACATAGCGACAAAGATGAGGACAATATTCCGAATAATGTAAATAGTATGAAAGTATTTATAGGAAAGGCACAACGAAGCTACGGTACGGCGGAGAGAAAGGAACTGAAGTCGAGATGCCAGGTCAGGATCAATAACATTGCAGATTATTTTGTTGTTGTTATTTGCTTTCGTTTTTTTTTCTTCAAGAATTTCTTGTAATAAATATGGCGACAAAGATGAGGGCAATAGTGCGAATAATGTAAATAGAACGTTAGAATGTTAGAAAATAAAGCTCATTCATTAACTATAGCGTATGCAATCGTTTGGAGGTGCAGCTGGCATGGGCATCGGTGCGAAAAGTGAATTCAACGTGCCGATTCCAATTTCCGTTCGTTTCTGTTTCGTTCCCTTCGCGTAAATGCCGTTCGAAAAAGCATGAATCCATTTTCCACCAGGTTTTCTTGACAAAATACAAAGAAAGATCTGCAATGTTATCGCACTTGACCTGGCATCTTGACTTCAGTCACTTCCCCAATGCAGTTAAGTTGCTTCTCTCCGTCTTTTTTTTTTTATAAATATTTCCATGGCAATTGTTCTGCTGTGCTTTCCTCTTTAGTGCATTGACTGGATGAATTTAAGCAGTGCTACTAGATTGGCAAGTAGGTCTCACTGTTTTACTGTTGAACTAGCTAAATGCATTAGTCTATTCTCTTCTAATAATTTTTTCTCACTTCCCGTCTGTAAAACTCCCTTCCGATTTCTTGCTTCATTGTCGGCTATAATCTTCCAAAATTTAAATCCAATGCCAATCGCCATCTTCCGTCTTCCTGAATCATATTATATTGTCATTTTTTTCCTCACGAAAGTCTTGTGATATTCTTTCAGTCCCAGAAACTTCTTGGTTCTCAGTGGCATTATCGCATTGATTTGGGGTGAAATGTTTAAAAAAAGAGCTATGGGTTAAACATCAGGACAGACAGGATTTTCTTGTCTGGAAGCGACAACCAGTCTTGGAGAAGGAAAAACTACCCAGAAGTGAGATACGTTCCGTTTTGCCATAAACACGCCGTAAAAGTGGTGCCTCTACGACCATAATGGGTAATGGGACACATACACGTGTCTACGCATACACATACAACGTTTTAGACATTTAAATGAGACAGTTACTAACTAAAAATCTTTTAATGCAACAATCTTTGCTTTTCATTCCATGATAATTCCCAGATTCCAGTCTGGGTTCCCACAGTCTTTAACAAAAATAAGATTGAAGATGATTAGCCAAAGTAGAAAATTTTATTAACGTCGTGCTTCGCCGGAGTGGGTATGATCTCTTTGACTTCCTCAGGTTAAATTAAAAGAAAGACAATGTACACGTGTGCATATATATATATATATATATATATATATATATATATATATATATATATATATATATATATCAACACTCACACTCAGAGGCGACAGGCTGTTTCATACTGGACGCAATCGTCAGGCCGCGAATGTTGGATTTTTCCTCCAGCATTCGCGGCCTGACGATTGCGTCTAGCATGAAACAGACTGTCGCCTAAGTGTTGATTTCTATGTTCACTTTTATATTTACACACGCTCTATCTCTGAAATTGAGCCATTTATCGCATAAATATAGCACACCTTAAAACTATATTTCTTCATATATATATATATATATATATATGAAAAGAAATTCGCTGATTTAAAACCCTACAATATCAGATGGTTCTAATACAGCTATAGATCAAACAAACAAACACACGGGCGGAGAGACCCTCTTTAAGTCTGGACATTGGCAGATGGTCAGTTAATTTGATTTGATTTATGATTCTCGCATATTCTCAGAGATTCTAAGGTATTTTCCCCAAACCCAGTATTTTAACCTGAGGAATCCAAAGCCACTCCCTGGCGAAATGCGCCTTTAATAAAATTTTCTCCTATCTTTTGACGGTGTTGCTCCCAAGTATTTGAAGCTGGACATATTCTCTTCTAGTTCGCCGTCCATGGTGACGCTGACATTGGGGTTTCTTGTGCTGTTCACCACCTGTGTCAGTATCACCATAAGATATTGGAGCACTCCAAATCAGATACGTGGTTTTTGAGAAGGAGAGTAGATATTGCAAGAATGTTTTTTCTCGCCTGAGTCCATTCTTCAAATCTATAAATCAACTATCCGTCCTTGTATGGAATATTGCTGTCATATATGGTCTGGTGACCGCCCCGCCTATGTGTCTCTAGGTCTTCGGCAAAAATTTAGAGACGAATATGCAATGCGATAGGTCCTGATCTGGCATATCATCTACAGTTGCTTTCTCACAGATGTGCCGTGGCTTCCCTCTGTCTCTTCTACAAGTATTTTCACGGCAACTCTTCCGACGAGCAACTTTCTCTGGTTCCCAGACTGCATGAATTTAAGCGAGTTACTAGGTTGGCATCTCGGTCCCACCCTTTTACAGTCGAAACGGTTAAATGTAACCGTCTCTTCTACTCATACAGCTTCTACTCTCGCACTTCCCGTCTGTAGAATTCCCTTCCCCTTACTTGCATCCCCGATAACTATAATCTTCAAATATTCAAGTGTCATGTCAGTCGACATCTTCTGATACCTTGATCTTGTTCCTCGTCCTTCTCTGTATCCTTTCCTCAAACACCCCTCTTTACTCTTGTTCTCAATCCTGTGTAACTCCTTGTGTACTAGTGGCATTCCTGCTTTGCTTGGTGTGAATTGCTTAAAAATTGACGTTCCATTTCGATACCGAAGATTTTTAAAAGGTGCGCGAGAAAGTGGGCAATTATCGGAACCTGAGATGAGAATTGAAGCAGCTTGGGAACTGTACTGACGTGACAATGACGTGGCCAAATCATGACACCCTCCGACTGCTTAATAATGACTAGGAGAGATTCCTGTCAGTACAAAAGACATTTGACCTTGTTCCGTACATAGTTATTGGTTTCGTGCTCTCAGTAGCAGATGCGGATGAGCTTTCTCAAGCATTTGTTTTCCAACGCCTGGATTCTTTTTTTGTTGTCTCAACCAGGAGTGTCCAAGCCTGGATACGACCAGCGGTCTGTAGAGCCTCAACTTGGTATGGAAGCTGATGTCGCTCTTTCATATCAGTTTTAGTCTGGCTATCTCTGCTGTGGCTGTGGGGATACGTGTGCGAATTTCTGTGTTGCAGGTGTCGTCTTTTATCAGCGTTTCACCTATATATTTGAAGCTGGACCCTTCCTCTAGAGGTTCGCCGTCCATGTTGACGCTGGCACTGGTGTTGCTTGTGCTACTCACTATTACTTTGGATTTATGTGTTAAGGTCCATACCATATGCGCCGGCTCTTTCAACGAGTTTATTGGTCAAGACTTTCAGCTCACTGTTATTGCACGCCATAAAGTCAATATCGTCTGCGAAACACAGTTTGAAGACAAGTCTATCACCGATAGAAAATAGAAGTTCTGTGGGCTTGGAGGGTTTACTTTACGATTCTCTTGAGAAACAAGTTGGAGGGTGTTGGATATAGTCGGCACTCCTATCTGGAAGAAATCTTCCACCTGATTGCTCCAGGTTGGTTGTTTTGTTTTATGGCATATCAAAACCTCAGTAGGTCATTTAATGCCAACAAAATTTTGAAATAGATTCATATCGATAGTTTGGTAAAAAGGTGTGTATGTATACATATATATTTGAACCATTTTTTTTTTATTACAAAGTATTTCTGGTATTAAAACTTATTTTTACACAATTATGGACCTGATAACACCAGCAATGAAGAGGGGGTTCGACGCTCGTCAACACCTCCTGATCAAAGGCTTTGCTGTTGGACGTAGTTTATCGTCTTACCCTGGACGCTGCGGATGTAGTTTATCGTCATACCCAGGACGGTTGACTCCTCCAGAGAACTACGCTTATTTAGAACTTTGTAAATGCCTCCAATCGCATATAGAAATTTTATCCACGGGACAATAAATATTAGAGGACTTGTAAAAAAAGCAAAAAAAAACCCCAAAACCCCCCAAAAACCCAAGAATTATTGCCTCAGATCGTTGATAGATATAGCATTGATATTTGTTGTTGCCAAAAAAATAAAATTAAAGAAGTATTTCATTGACAACATAAGTTAATAGCTTTGGAAACAGACAGTAAATATTGACAGAAATGGTTTTGTCATTGATATGTTCCGGAAAAGGGATATATTTGAACGAAGTAGCTTATTGGTTTTGGCTACTATAACCAAGTAGAATACGGTAGCAGTAATCGACTGGTACGCGTCATAGTCGCAGCTAAGAAGTGTAGATCAATGGCGTAGTCCATTGGGCGTCGTTATAGACTTAGTTCTCAGAATAAGGCTCTTTGACTCACCTACATGTCCGTCAGTATTTATGACGGACACCAGCCAATCATATTTCAGTGAGGGGGAACACAGGTGTATGCATATTCCATTATATCAGTCATCAACCACAAATTATTAAAGAATAGCATCTTTTGACATTGGAAAATCTCACACAGAATATCACATTTGCTGCTCAAGACAAACATGAAAGAATAATTCATTCAGACGGGAAGTATAAATCTTAAGATACATTGGAGAAAATTAATGTTAACCCTTTGAGCCTTGCGTTCCTGAACAGGTTTAATCCTTCTGCCTGGGCTTCTTAGTCAAAATCCGCAAATAATTATTATGTAATACTTCACGGTATGTATAAAAGTAATAACAAGCGTTTATCCACCGTTCAACCGGTAGCTGATCATTACGTCATTTTTCTCTACCACTGTTCAGCCGGTGACTCGGTATTACATCATTTTTCTCTACCACTGTTCAGCCAGTGACTCGGTATTACGTCATTTTTCTCTACCACTGTTCAGCCGGTGATTCGGCATTACCTCATTTTTCTCTACCACTGTTCAGCCGGTGACTCGGCATTACGTCATTATTCTCTACCACTGTTCAGCCGGTGACTCGGCATTAAGTCATTTTTCTCTACCACCGGTAAAGCGGTGGTCAGGTCTCAAAAGGTTAAGTAAAATGAATACATCGAACAATCATAGTATACATTTTGAACAACTATATTAAAAGAACTAGTTATAAAATTCCAACATTCCCCGTAAAAACTTTGAAGTATTTTGAAGTCCACCAACACTTGACAGGGGAGAGGAGAGGGACTGATAAGGGATATTTGCAAAGTTACTGAAGATGAGAAATCACACTGATTCTCAGTGTGGCTTCAATTCGAAACATCTTTCATATAGATGACAGTGATGTTTAGTTTTACTATTTATGATGTGTTTTCAGTTATTTTGTGTTATTTGATATTCAAACGATAGTTTAATAATAATAACTGGTCATAAATATTTGACGGTTATAGTCTGCTGTTGTGTATATATATAAATATGACTTATTTTAATTGTATATTATATCGTTTAAGCATAAAAATAAACATCTTTCAAATATAATAATAAAAAATTGTTATATTTAACTTCAATCCGTTTGCTCTGGCGCCCAACAATAAAAAACAAATCCTCCGTGACTTCATTGCCTCTGGCACCGCACTATGTGAACAACTCCACGTGTAGTGCTTCTAAGGTTCTCACCAGTGAGGACTTCAGCCAAGATACATTAACTTACGGCGAGTTTCGACCAGTTGCAGGCTAAATCTAAAAATGGCGTTGAAATACTGCCTGTAGCGGGTGTAACAGTAAAATCGAACCGTCGTCTCTTAGAAATGATTAAAGATATCTTACTGGAATTCTCCAAACATTTTATAACAATATTGACCTCTACTTTGAGCAATAAGAATGTATAATTACTCTCCAAGCTTAAAAGAAGAATCTTAATGAAATCGATCATAAACGAAAATGAGATGTTCATCATTAATTAATCATAGCTAAGGACCGGAAGTTCATGAATGAGTGAAATAGTTCAAATATATATAATATAATTTTCCAATTTATTCGAGATTATCTTCGCCCTCTCTAACCTTCTAACTTTCTGTCCTGGAGTAACAAGGTGCCTCACTAGTCTCACGTACGATTTCATTTTCAAATCTTTTTTTCAGTCGTTTCAGTCTTTGGACTGTCATAGCTGAAACCCCTTTATCACGTACCAAACGTCTTATGGGTTGAGTTGGAGCTTTTCAAATTCATCTCTAAGTTGAAATGATCCCTCTTCCTGTTGTGACCGCTTGATCCAGTTTTCGTCTCTACTGTTCCCTCTTTTTTAAAATTTATTCACCATTCTCTTGATGGTTCTTGAATGGACTTTGAAGATGGAAGCCAGAGAGAGAATGTTGGCCGAAAGTATGGGGCACCTAGTGAGGATTGAACTCACTACACAGTTGGCAAGCTATCTAACCATTACACCAATTCGGGTGCCCTAGCCAGAGTATGAATGTTGGTACCATTACTGAAGGCCTGAAGGATTTTTCTCTTCTCAACATTGCTCATTTGGGAAGTCAGTGGGACGAACAAAAACCGATTTTAACCCGTTCTCTTTCGAGCTGAATAATTGTTGTGACCAAGTAAATGGTTAAAGAAATAACAAAACAAGTGTTGCAGATATATAAAATCTGTTTAAATATATTAAACAGTAATTACAACAGAAAAGTATTACACGACTAGTGAGGGTGTATCGGTTAACCCTATTCGACTATTCCTCCAAGGCCTTTCTCCTACTAATCCTATAGTAGGCGGAAGAGTCCAACGTAGACTCTTTAGATGGAGGACACCACAACAATAATTCAAAGCGGTTTCAGTGATTCTTACGACAAATGCTGTCAAGCTGACCAAACGTCTTATCTGAAAACCTCATAAAAAGAAACTCGATTAGTTTAGTGTTTTTTTTTTTTTTAGATATTAAACATTTTGTGGGATGAACAATTTTACTGTTACACAATTTGGACAATTTTGCTGTTACACCCGTATCACTGAGATAGGGGGGGTCATCTTAGAGAAAGGCAGATATTTGTAGTGAGGAGCTAAATCATGTTTCAAAACGTAAAAAATTCTGAAGGGCAGATTCGCTTCTGAACTGAAAATAATCTTTTGAAATTATTTTTTATTCTAATCTTATCTTCGCGTATTTGTTACAAACAGAAGGATCTCAAACTGTGTTGAGTGTCTGAGAGGGGAAACGGTAATCAATGGATGGAGGACTTCCTAGATAAAAGACAAAGGCCAAGGCGGAGAGTTCTCCCCGATAGAATCACGTGTTCCGTGACGAAAGAGAGCCTTCAATGTCGGGGGATATCGGCCGTGTGTTTTTGATCTGCAGATGTGGAGGGAGCTAGTCAGGTGCTCAGTAGCACAGTAACTCTACGACCACGCCCGCTCGTGGGATGATGATGATGATGATGATGATGATGATGATGGTACTATTAGTTAAAATATATGTTACAAGTAGTAGCTCTCTAGGGGTGTGAGGGTAGTGAAACGGATATCAGCAGGCATAGTGTAGTCGGCGAATAGGGTTCAAACTCCGACCTATTCTGTTGCGTTTACTTTCGCACGCATAACCTAATGTACCCATCGCTTCTCCTCTAAGCTTCGTAAAATAGTAGGGTAGAACGTGTTCCCTATCATTGGACGGCGACCAGTCTAAGAGAAAGAAATCTCGGAATTCTAAACCATGGGAAAGGTAAGGGGTAACCATTCCACTATCTTTTTCAAGAATGCATAACAATTGACAGAGAATAAAGAAAAGGAACGTGTGGAGATCCATGAACGTCTACTTACTGAAGGGATATGACATTTTTTGTTCGATCTATGTTACCGTAGGGCTGGGATCAAAGAATGGTATTTGTTTTCCTCATTAAAAATTGGAGAAGGCGCCTGGCTCCGGAGACTCCAATCCTGCAGTAGCACCTTCCTCATTGCACTAAGTGAGGTGGGGGTCGGCGTAAAATCGACGCCAGCCTTACAGTAGTCGCTGCGACAGATCAGTTTTTTGTCCTCTACTCACAAGTACTCGTATGGACTCCCCACATAAAAATGACCTTGTGTAAAATCTCGCACCCGAGAGAGAGAGAGAGAGAGAGAGGTTGGAAAATAATTTATCGCCCATAAGGATTCGGAGTCGCTTTTGGACGCTATCGAAATTGGAGAGTAAGGATCTCTGGATATATTAGCTTGTGATTAAGAGGTTTATGAAATCTTGTCTTTGGCTACGAATTTCAACTTCTGAACAATTTGTCCATTCCCTAACAGCAGTTATAAGCCTAAGATGCTAATAAATCAAGATGCAAGAGAAGAAATGTTTTCCAATAAGCGGTATCATATCTTCCTTCCCTGCGCCATTTCTATAAATGTCATGGTAATTGTCCTCATGAACTTTACTCTTTGGTACCTCGGCCTAACGAACTGAAGCGTGGTACTAGATTGGTAGCTAGGTCTCATCATTTTACACTTGAAATTTCTAGACGTAACCGTAAGTTCTATGCTAATAGTTTCTTCTATCACATTTCCAATCAATTTTGAGCTTAAAAATTTAAATGCAATGCCAATCATTACCTTCTGTCGTCTTAATTCCTGTTCTTTTACTGTTCTCTCTCTTTAAAAACGTTCATCTCATTCATATTCTTTCACCCTCAGTAACCCTCTGTATCTTAGTGGCTTTATTGTCTTTCTTCAAGTGATTTAGAAAAAGTAGCGTAGAAAAATCAATCAAAAAAGGTGCGAAAAAAGAAATGAAATGCATATTCCAAGGAACATGTTACAAAGCAATAAAATAGATTTTTTTAAAACATATTAAAAAACTGGGCCTGAGCCAACAATAAACAAACATCATTTTAACGAGAAGGAGAAAAATAGAAAGAAAAAAAGACGTGAATGAAAGGAGAAAAAGAAAAGAACAAGAAGAGAATAATAGATTCTAGAGATTTAGACTTTAGTGTTTATGATAGAAAAAAAAGCTGTTGTTTTTCTTTTGCATTTTTCTCATTAATTTTTGCTTTTTTAGATTCTTTCTTTCGTTTATTCATCTTTTTTTAAAATTTTATATTTATTTTTTGGTTCTTGATCTTTTTGGTTTGTTTATTTGTTTCTTTCTTTTTCCTAACGTTGTTTCCACTTTATTACTTTTCTCTCATATTTTTCTTTCTTTCTTTCTTTCTTTCTTTCTTTCTTTCTTTCTTTCTTTCTTTCTTCTCTACTTTTCTCTCTTGGTTTTCTTTTCTTTTTCTCACTTTCACTTCTTGTTTATTTCTTTCTTTCTTTCTTTCTTTCTTTCTCGTAACATTTTATGCCTTTCTCCTTTTCTCATAGTTCTTTGTTCGTTTGTTTCTTTCTTTCTACTTTTTCTTATCGTTCGTCTTTCTTTTCTAATTTTCTTTCTTGCTTTTGCTTTTTTCTCTTCTTTCTTTCTTTCTTTCTTTCTTTCTTTCTTTCTTTCTTTCTTTCTTTCTTTCTCTACTTTTCTCTCGTGGTTTTCTTTTCTTTTTCTCACTTTCACTTTCACTTTCACTTTCACTTCTCGTTTCTTTCTTTCTTTCTTTTTTCTTTCTCGTAACATTTTATGCCTTTCTCCTTTTCTCAGTTCTTTGTTCGTTTGTTTCTACTTTTTCTTATCATTCTTCTTTCTTTTCTAATTTTCTTTCTTGCTTTTTCTTTCTTTCTTTCTTTCTTTCTTTCTTTCTTTCTTTCTTTCTTTCTTTGTTGTTTGATCTTTCTTTCTTAGCCTACAGGAAAGATACGACTATATCTATTTTTTCTTTCTTACCCAATCAATAAAACAACGAAACATTTTTCTCCTCACAAAAATCTTGATATTTTCTGAATATTCATTCCTTTTTTCCTCAATGTTTTTGGCATCTACCTTCCCCACTCCCTCGCCAATTCCTTACTCTCTCTCTCTCTCTTTCCCTCTCATTCTACATCCTTCTTTTTTTTCTTCTGTTTCCAATCTCTCTTTCCTCGTTGCAAATTTCTTTCATTAAATAATTTTCTGTGCCAATTTCGCTCTGGCCTCGAGCACCGAATTAATCAACCTTTCGTGACACGGTGAAATAACATGTTACCCCACAGTGAGGAGAGGAGATGGGCGCCCTTGGATAGTAGCAGCGTTCGGGAGAGAGAGAAGAGAGATGGGACTGAGGAGAAGCGGTGACAGAGAGTAAACCATTGCTCATTGTAGTTTAGACCCCCCCCCCTCGCCCCCCACTAAAAAAAAAAAAAATCATGGGTAGCATGAAGTCAAGCGACATAAAAAGCATAAAGAAGTTATAGAGAAGTCGGTGGACAGAAGCCATAGAGATAAAAAAAAAATGATCTTTTTTTTGTGTTGTACCTATCATTCCTAATACTCTGTCGATTGTATCTTAAGCGACGACGGCTGAGCGTTTAGCACGCTTCTCTTCACCCTCTCTGTTTGCTTCTCTATTCCCATTTCTAACTCCCATACTTTGTGTTATTCGACATCGACGCGCCTCTCTCTTTCTTTCTCTCTAGTTTGTAAACAGCTCTCTGGAGTGGTTTACACACTCTGATACTTACCGAGTGCAGGGATCCTTCCCTGAGCTGGTAGTATCACGGCTATGACTAGCTTGGTCCGGCTATGACCAGCTTGGACAAGCTATGACCAGCTAAGACCAGATATGACTAGCTTAGACTAGATTTGACCTGCTTGGACAAGTTAAGACCAGCGGCCCGAGTGAAGACACTGGGATCCCCACGTTAAAAATTGACCTTGTGTCACAACCTGACTCAGTGGGGGGGGGGGGTCAAGTAAATCTCCCCTCCTTCTGTCATTAGTTTTAAGACATATAGTATATATGTATTAAGTCTCGTGAGACGTTATCTCTGAATATCATTTTTTTTTGTTTCTATTGGTATGACGTGCTTCCGCTTTATATATTTTGGTATTTACTGAGCTTAGACTAGCCTGTCACAAGGCTTCAAGTATAGAGTACCGGTTGTGTGTATCGAATATAGAGATAAACATTTTTTTTCTTTATCTTGTTTTGTGAGCGTATGGTCTTTTGTTTTTCTTTTAACATAAACCAATATGTCTCCGGAAGATTGCGTTCAAGTATGAATGCTAGTCGCCATTGAGGCCACTCAATGTTGACACCAGTATCCATTCATTCTTCTCTCTCTCTCTCTCCATATATATATATATATATATATACGTATACATATATATATATATATATATATATATATATATATATATATATATATATATATATTGTAAAATACATCTATTGGATGCTTTAGTACACATCATCAGTGATGTTTCTAGCCGAGGTTCATTAGAGGTTTCAGGTCTTTCAATATCTTACCCCCCTCTCCACGGTGACCGAGCCGATACTGATCGGGAATCGACTATGTATGCCTTCCGTCAGCTACAATTTTTTTCCATCTTCCGAAGTACACACCATACGACTCTTCTTAGCAAATTATTGTCCAATCGCGGATGACTTCCGGTACACCAGCAGTGTACGCTCTTCCATAAAAAAGGAAGGAAACGCATTCATAATTTTTATCTAATCAGGAATATGGCGGCGTGCTTGGCTTGAAGTATATATATATATATGCTTGGCTATATATATATATATATATATATATATATATATATATATATATATATATATATATATGCAGAAAGAATTCAATGAAATTTTAAATTCACATGAGTTTAGTATTTTTTAATTTTCGAATAGGTTGTTGCACATACGAGGCAATTTAACCATTAATCTGAGAAAGCAGTTGTATACAGCTTACAATTTCGATAAATTTGTTTAACGGCATATCAACTCATTATGGGTCATTTAATGCCTAAATTTCATTTTCTTGTGAGCTTTCAAGTAATAAAAATATGATATGTTATTCTGCTTTCACAATTGAATACATGGTAGGTGATACTCAGCTTTTGCGCATATACATGTTTGTATAGAGATGATTACTAGAGGCAGAAATATGTGTGTTTTATACTCTAGTTTTGCTGAAGTCATATTTTGGAATACAGAAATTGTAGGATAATATATGGATTAATGTCATGAAAGAGTTCTTTCATGTTGATTGATGCATTGTTAGTAATTTTACTATAAATAGGTATTGTTGTTAATTTTTTTTTAATATAAAATATATTGCTAGTATTATTACTATTAAAATGTATTTTTATACTTTTATAGTTTTCTCTTTTGGGGTTCACTATTTTCCCAAAGCTGGGACCCTAACAGGTGCTACCACACCGGGTCAAGTTTGACCTGGGAACAACAGCAATTGACAGGTGGTTCTATGCTCCACAAAACCTCTAATCTCTCGATCAGAGGACTTACTGCCGGATGTAGTTTATCGTCAAACTCAGGACTAGACAGTTTAGATATTTCTGAACGGATTTGGCGCTATACATGACATCAATATTAAAGTCTAGATTAGACGAGGCTATTTAAGAACATGATGCGAGTTTTCATGTTAATGTTTTTTTAGCAATTTGCCGTGTTGAGCGAAACTACATTCAGCACAGCCTATTCTATAATCAATTTCTTTATCTCCTCTACTAAATTTGTTATAACTGATTCATATCCCGAGGTATTTAAATTGCTTACTATGTGAAATTAGATTTTCGATCCCACTGACGGATACAAAAATAGAAGTCTACTGCTGCTAGAGGTTCAAAACAATTTCAGAGGCCAGTTTATCTCCTCTCCTAAATTTGGTATAACTGATTCATATTCCGAGGTATTTAAATCTTTTTCTATGTACTAATTCCACAACTTGAATTTTCATGATGGATTCAGTGTATGTGCCATTATAAGAATTAAATCCTATATATATTTTTTTCAACGAATAAAATCCAATTCACAAAGTTTTGTTTGATAAGCAGTCATTGCAAGGACGTAGTTGTAAATCTAACACGTGTTATCTTTGGACCATTTAAAAAATAATAATCATAACGCGCTTCACCACTCCAGTAAATTCAGGAAAAAGATTTTCGCGTGTCAGTGTGAAATTATTGACTAACTAATGAAAACATTGTATTCAAAAAGTTCACACATCTATGTGAAATTAGATTTTCGATCCCACTGACGGATACAAAAATAGAAGTCTACTGCTTCTAGAGGTTCAAAACAAGAGGACAGTTTATCTCCTCTCCTAAATTTGTTATAACTGATTCATATCCCGAGGTATTTAAACAATTTCAGAGGCCAAGTTTGATGCGTACACTCACGCACACAATGAAGATATGACATCCAGCATATTTCTTAATAAATAATCACTTGATGAAACAAATTTCATTGCAAGGAAAATTTAACATTTTCTTGTTCTTGTATATTTCTGAAAAGAATATATAAATGCTACTTCAACGTTCTGATTCTACTTTTCCTCCAAAAAATAACCTTTTACAGACGGTCCTCGGGTTAATTTGGACCCGACGTACGGCGTTCCGTTGTTACAGCGCCATTTCCCATAATTTAATACGTCATCACGCGGTGCTATATAATAAAGACGGTGTTGTTTCTTTACCGGCTGTACGCCATATTAGATTGTGCTTCATTCGCTATCTCCCATTTGTATCATTTTTTAAAAACTTTTTGCCTTTCATTATGGCTTCCATGCGTGGGTACTTATGTAGGTGAGTTTCAACTATGTCGAAAGTCAGGTTACGTCGAAAATCAGGTTACGTCACGCCGTAGGAACGGATCTCCGACGTAAGTCGAGGACTCCCTGTATATATTTCATTTAAAATATATATTGTTAAATGTTTGGAATCCCGACCCTTAAATAGCAACAAAAACCTGAGTAGATGGATCACAACACCATCACTGATTTTATTCTAATTCCAGATCATAGATTTTGTTTAGCAAAGGTTTATGTCCTATTTCTTGGAACACTTCGCAGAGATTATTTACTTTCCGTTCAAGATGATTCTAATCCCAACTATGAATACTTACATAATCGGCATAACCCTCATGGTCATCAATACATTTGCTTAGGTAGGGAATAGAGGACTGTTGTATTGGTAGATTCGCTTGGGATGTAATATGGAATTCTAAAATAATCAGTCCATTTCTTCATATATCTGTTTGTAAATGAGCGGGGTATATAGACAAAGATAATAGAGACTGGGGATCTCATCTCCTCCTTGCCTTACTCCTGATGGGGTTTGAAATGTTTCCGTATTGGGGTCCTTGTCGGAAATGTAATATTTTGTGAGCCGATAAACTTCCTTTATTAGATCGATGCATCCAGTAGATGTCCTGGGCATGACGATAAATTACATCCGCGTCCTGGGTAAGACGATAAACTACGTCCAACAGCAAGACCTCTGACCAGGTGGTTTTGAGGAGCGTGGAACCACCTTTTAATTGCTGCTGTTCCCAGGTCCACCCTGACCCGGGGTGGTAGCACCTGTTAGGGTCCCAGCTATGGGCAAATAGTTAACCCCCCAAACTCGGACCAAAACATTATGAAAGTGTAAAAATAGGTTTTAATACCAGAAATACTTTGTATAATAAATTATTACCAGCAATATATTTTTGAAAAACAAATATTACCAACAATACATTTTTGAAAAACAAATATTACCAGCAATACATTTTTGAAAAGCAAATATTACCAGTGAGAGAAAATTCTTACCGGAAACAGATTTTTGAAGGAAAAAATATTACCAGAAATAGATTTTTGGAAAAAAATATTACCAACAATGAAAATTTTGTCGGCATTAAATAACCCATTGAGCTTGATATGCCGTAAAACAAAACAAAACAAACCAAGCATCAAGTAGAAGACTGTTTCTAATGAATGTAAAGAGGAAGTCTATATTGAGTGTCCATATGCTGCTGTGAGGTCAACATAACAGGTATGCAATTTCCTATTAGAGAGGTATGCAATTTCCTGCAGTTGTTTGATGACATATATGCCATCATTACATCTTTTACAAGAACGAAAACCAAAGTGAGTTATGAGAAGTTGATTTTCATAAAACGATCAATAGTTAATATAATGTTCATTAATATTTTCACCATGATGGATCCAGTGGAGATGCCTCTGTATTTGTGAGCGTCTTGAGGGCTATCTTTTTCTTTCCATAGTGCATTAATTCTAAAAATGGACAGACCTAGTTGGAATTATCTAATAAAACTTGTTTGTATATGTATGCATATATGTATGGCTAGCCACTCGTATTCCAGGATACTCGTCTACTAGGGCGGCTAGCCAATTCCCTATTGCAGACGCTTGCTCAGGTGCATTTGTGTATATTCAACACCCACAGAGCCCACCTATGCTTTATACTGCAACTGAGCAGATCTTAGTTACAGTTCCTGGGAAAGAACGTGTTATCTCGCGTGATCAACAGTTTGAACAAGACCAGTAACTCTCTAGCTCTCGGCCACGATGACTTTTGACTTCGTGCTTGCACAGTTATCGACGGCACCAAAGTGCATATATATATATATATATATATATATATATATATATATATATATATGTGTGTGTGTGTG